AGGAATTTTTACATTTTGAAATTCTTATCTGTACTTTTGTAAGTATGTGTTATCTTATAAATTAATTTTACATGATATGTCTACAGAACATGAGTATTAAAATTACATCCATGTAAGTTATGCAGGTGTGTAAATATGGAATAGGAAGGTTGATAAATCAGGGGGTAGAAATATGGATAATTATCATTTAAGTTTTGGGTTTTGATTAACAATCATTGCTATCTGTACAATATTTTAAAAATAAAGTCCTAAAGCCATAACATTGTTCTAAAGTAAAGCGAATTCATGAGCCACACAAGAAAAACTACCAAGTTGTCTACTTCTTACTTTAATAATCACATTTAGTAAATATCACTATCTCTATAGAGCTAATCCTCCTAATTTTATGTTGTCTCTCCACACCCTTACAACTGATCAAGAAGTAGGAACAGAAACTACCTATGTGCATGCATTCAATTAATGCCCGATATTGCCACCTGAGCTTTCACATACCAGGTTCATTTTATTAAGTATAGTCCTAAATTAAAATCTACCTCTATGTAAATATAGCTTTTCCACATCATACTGAAATCCCACTATGCTTTCTAGAAATTAATTAATTAATTTGTCATTTTAATGCTAGTGCTGGTACTTCTATTTATACCAATTTCACTATTTTAAGATTTTTTATGTTGATCCTCTATAAACTGTAATCTTACAATTAATTTTCCACTTAAAAGTTTTAAAAATGTGAATTTTAATCTGATCATTAGCATATGTGGATGTTAATCTGATCATTATCATATGTAGAATATGCGCTATATTTCTAATTTCCATTGTGCAAATTTAATCAGAAATATAGCAGAAAAAAAGATGCTTTCATTTTTGTTTCTGAACAAACTACATCAAGAATCTTAATATTTTATGACACCAAGAAAGACAATGAAAAATTCTAAATTAACCTAATGTTAACACTAGAAATAATTACAAATGTTCTTTACAGAGAAGAGATGTGCTCTTCAATCCTGTCAATTCAACAAATATTGTTCAAAAGTATTTCTCGCCATCATTAGGAAATAATAGTATTATTTGACAGAATATAATTCTCCCCACACACTTAGTTCCAAATTCCACTGTGGAACTGATTCTTACAAAAGAACCTGGTTTGTTTCATATGTTTATTAAATTAACAGACAAAAATTAACATATTCACAAACATTTCGCATAAATGGTCATAAACAAGTCAGTCTTAATGGATTTTAAAATTCACTGCACATTCAAGTAATATTCTAACCCAGAAGGTAGGTAAGCCTTCCATGATACAAATGAGGACGTTGAGCCCCTGAGATGAGGTGACACAAATTCCCAGTCATAATGTAAAGGAGAGACATAATTCATTCATAGGAGCCCCACCCCCCCGACTTCCTATTAAGTACTTTTTTTACATTTACTTATTTATTTACTTTTGTTGTTGTTGTTTTTGTTATCCTTACCCGAGGACATTTTTGCATTCATCTTCGGGGAGAGAGAGACAGAAACATCGATGTGAGAGAGACACATCGAGTGGTCACCACCCACACTGGGGACAAGCTGCAACCGAGGTACGTGCCCTTAGTGGGAACCAAACTCAGGTCTCTCTGGTCCACAGGCTGATGCACTAACCACGAGCCAAACCAGCCAGGGCCAATTTAAGTTTTTTAGAAAGACGTACATTTTACAGAGAAATATGCTTTCAATAAAAAAGAAATAAATTTTGAAGATGAACTTAATATGAAACTCACAAATCAAAAATACACAAATATAATCCTGGCCGGTTTTGCTCCGTGGTTAGAGCATCAGCCCGCGAACCAATGAGTCTCGAGTTCGATTCTGGTCAAGGGCACAAACCCTTGGTTGCAGTTTGTTCCCCAGCCCTGATCAGAGTCAGGCAGGAAGAAACCAACTGATGTCTTTCTCTCTCACACAGATGTCTCTCTCTCTCTCTCTCTCTCTCTCTTTTTCTCCCTCCCTCCCACTCTATCTGAAGATAAATGGAAAAAAATATCCTCAGGTGAGGATTAAAATATTTTTTTAATTTAAAAAATAAAATACACAAATATAAACCATATCTAAAATAATCATAATAGTAAAATAGATGTGAACAAACAGAATCAATTTATAAATAGAATAATGATATGAGAATGGTCAAAATACATCTCTGCTGTGAAAGGCTAAGTTTTCAGACCAGAGATAAATTTTACTGAGCCAAATTAAAAGGGGAAAAAAAAAAATCACTCTGTCAGCAGAAAACCTGCTGAGGAATAGCTATCTATATATGGCATCAACTGAAATGAGGGTAATATCTCCTACTATTTCAAAATGATGTCTGAAAGACTAAAAAAAAAAACAAAAAACCTGAAACACCATTCTACCTCAACATGTACAGGCTGGGGCAAAAGTAGGTTTACAGTTGTGGGTACATGAAACAATTTATTCTTGTATTATTATTTATTAATTATTGTATTACTTTCCATACGAACTGTGAACCTACTTTTGCCCCACTCTGTGTATTACATGCATTCTACCTAGGTTGGCTGGGGGGGGGGCGGTGCATTTTACACAGCTTATTTTTTATTCTGGCTATATGCAAACTGCAAGCAATTTGAAGAAGCATAAAGAAGAAATTACCCACAACCATATTAGCAAAAGATAACTGTTATCATTTTATTTCTTTCCTGTCTTTCTCCTAATATTTACTGTAAAGTAAAAAACCCAGCTTGCATTACAGCACAGCAACATTCCCATTATTAAAAATTCTGTAAATGTTTTAAAGCACTGCTTCTCACTCTGAAATTACACTTTTCAGATTATGCGAGAAACACCAGTGGACCCTTGAAGCACATCCCTTAGACTAGGATGACTGGTTTAAAAGCAATTGTATCACAGTCTGTATCGGGGTCCTTTGGGTAAGAAAATACAATTTTTAAAAAACGCAATCCCTGAGTTTTCAGGTACTATATCCCTAACTGGTCCTTAATTTACCGGAAAATTTAGTAAGCTCAAGATGATCAGTTACAGCTATATTATGCTTTCCCCTTTGCAAAACTCCAGTGTACTATCATTTCATGTTCATTAAGTTTTGAAATAGGTGTGAAGGGATTAAGAAGTACAAATTGGTAGTTATAAAATAGTCACAGGGATATAAAGTACAGCACAAGGAATACAGTCAATAATACTGTCATAACTATGTATGGTACCAGGTGGTACTTGAAATATGGGAGTGTGGGGGGTGGGAAAAGATCCCTTTGTAAAGGACATAACTGTTTAACCACTATGCTGTACACCTGAAACTAATATAAAATAATATTGAATGTCAACTGTAATTGAAAAATAAGAAACATATTATTTGTTAAAATACTTTGGGGTAAATACTGAAAGTAAATCTTTCAAAAAATGTAATGTTGCATGTTTAATTAAATCAGGCTTGAGAAATTCTAAAAACAATCCAATTGTCTTATTTGGGGGGAGACATATAACTGGTTGATTCTATACTGTTCAAATATTTTTTTAAAAACATGATATAAACACCTTCAGATCTGGAAATAAGTAAAACAGTATTCTGCTTAGGTAGTTATATTCCTTTCTGTATCAAGGAACCTTACACATTTTTTTGGCCTTAGTTTCCTATGTGTGAAATGGGATAACAAGCGGTTGTGGTGAGGAATGAGTTAAGACACGTAAACCTCTTGGTACTGTGCCTGCCACAAAGCAAGCCCCAATAAGTGTTTAGCTACATATAAGCCTGTTTTTTGTTGTGTGTGTTTTTTCCTACCACGAGGAAAATACAAACACAGGCTCAAGACTTCAATGGAGAGAGGATTTCACACTAATTTATTAAGGGCTGATGTTCAAAAATTTACTGAAGAACAGCTAACTAAGCACCTACACTGCGTAGAACTGTGCCTAAATCTGAAAGAGGTCAGTTTACCAATACGTTTTTTCTTTATAATTAGAGATATTTTATTTCCATGTGCCTGTCAAAGTTTCAGCATCATCATAATGACAGGCTTATGGCCATGATTCCATACTTTACTGAAAACCATATGAGAGCAACATTAAGCTGGACTTAAACGTGGAGATCAATTAAAAAAACCTTCCCAGAAATCAGTAACAATCCTTCTCACTGCAATAAAATGGAAAATGTGTTCAAAAACTGACGCCAAACTGATTCAAAAATTGTCATTCACTTCCTAAAAATTGTACTAAAGTGGGGGAGGGTGAATCAGCTCTGCATTCTCTTTCCATCATACTGCTCCTTCAATAAACAATTTTGCTTAGTTCTGGAACAGGTTTTCCAAGGACGGTAGATGGAAAAAAGTTTTCTCTCTTTCTGGGTGGACTTACCCTTTCAACGTGGAACGTTCCATTTAGGCAACATAAGAGGCTGCAATGGGTCACAGCCAGTGTCTGACCCAGGCAATCTAGACCACCATCCTGCCTAATACGCAGGGACTGTACAGGACACTTTCTGAATCCAAGATTCACAGATAATCAGAATCAGTTTCTTTCGCTTTTGAACCTGAGCACTTGCACAAAAGACAGTAATTATCGCCACTTGCCTTTAATAGGTTTAAGATGCTATTTAATTACCTTGCCTTTCTACTGTCTATCCATCCATTTAGCTTAACTATAGGCGTCACATCTCCAAAACTTCTTTTCCTCCCAAAGATTTTATCCAGAAAAAGAATCCAATACCTAAAAGGCCTTGACAGCAGTGTCTCACTTCCCTCTTTTGAGGAAAACGAATGGCCTTGCCAAAAAAGTAAAGCTGCGCCAAACTGGGGGACAACAGGCTGAACCCACCTTTGCAACTCAACCTTGCGAGTGCCGCGCCCGTCTGCCCACTCACGGGAGCGCATCGCACCTTCCCGACGTGCGGCCGACTCTGCAATGGCCTGGAAACCTGGCACCCCGCGGGCTCTCCCCGCGCCCCCGCCACCCGTGGGGCTCCATGCAGCGAGCATTCCCCGGGGACAGCTTACCTTGCTGGGCTCCAGCGTCCTCAAGCAGCAGGAGCAGGATAAGTAAGAGCAGGAGAGACAGAGGCATAGGGGAGGAGGAGGAGGAGTTGGAGCGGGGAGAGAGGAGGCCGGAGCGAGAGTGGGGGAGCGCGGCCCGGGCGGGGGCGGCGGCCGCGGCCCGGACTCCGGGACGGTGCGGGCTGCGCCCTGCTCTCACCACCGTTCGGCTCGCCATCGCGGCGGCCGGCAGTCCGCCTGCATAGTGCGGGCGCCTCGGGAGTCCCGCGCGCCCCGGGGCCGCGGCACCCGGCGAGGAGGCGGCGGCTGCAGAGAGAGAACGAGAGCAGCGCGCGCCTCGCTCCGCGCCGGGACCCCCTCCGCCCCTCACTCCGCTTTCGCCTCCTTTCGTCCCTTCCCTCCGTTCCCCGCCCGAGACCCCAGGCCGGAGTGCAGGGGAGGGGAGGGAAGGAAGCGGCTGCTCGAGGCACGGAGGACGGCTGCGGTTGAGCTGGGCAACGAGCCGCCCGCACCGCGCTCCTCAACCCGACCCCGGATCGCCGCGTTCTCCCGCCGCTCAGGGTAGCTGGCTGGCAGGCCAGCCCCTGATCCCTCGCGCTCCCTCTTGCGCGCCCTGGCCACGCCTTCTCGGCCACCAAGACCAATCCGAGCTCGGCTCCGGACCGTCTCCCCCACACACCAACCAATCAGCACACTCTCTCCTCTATCGACCAGTTAGCTCCGCTGCCCACCACTCCAGCTCCACCACCTCTCATCTCTCTCCTCCAATCCCCTGAGGACTTAGGAAGCGTCCCACCCGCCTCCCCCAATCTAGGTTCCGCCCCCAGTCTTGGGCCCCGGGCGGCCCCCGCCCGGCCCAGAGATTTGTTATTGTTGGGACCTCAGCCCAAACCGATCCCGCTGAGGCGGCTGCTTGCTCTGGTCAATGACTTCCGGGACTTCCCCCATCCCGCTCTCCCTGCTGCTCTGGCTGTGCTTGCTCATTGCTCCTCCCTCGCCGCACATCAGGCCACTGGAAGGGGTGGGAAACCTGGATCCTGGATGCTGTTAGCTGGAAGCTGAGTCTGAAGGTCTTTCTTTTTCTTTCTTTTCTCTCTTTCATTCTCTCTCTCTCTCTTTCTTTTCTCATTTTCCTTTCTTAAAAAAATAGAAGAGCGGATTTTTTTTTTTTTAATAAAAGCTACTGCCAATCGTTGTGGCCACTCCAAGTGACAATAACAGATCAGTGTTTTATATCTATCTATCTGTCTGTCTATCTATCTATCCATCCATCCTGTTTTCGGTGCCCTTTACTATATTACATTGGGGGGGGGGGGGCGGGAAGGATATAGCAAGATCTGTGACCACAAAGTAATTTAAACCTAGCATCCTAATATTAATTTGGCCATTCTGGAGTTGTGGAGCACCTGCAAACCCTGAGTTATGAGTTGTAGGAGTTGCAGCCTAATACACAGACTGATTCCAGGATCTAGTTTTGGAACAGAGATGGAAATATATTGTGAAATAATCAAATAAATGCTAATTAGAGTCACAAACAGTTTGTCAGAGGATATAGTGACAAAAAGAACTGGTTTTGGGGAAAGCAGAATCCATAGGACTAGAAGGTGATTGGTTTTAGAGAGGAGAAAAGTGCCATTCTGGATGTTTTCCCCATGGGCCCTTAAGGAGGATGGTCATTGATAAATACAGGAAAATGGAAAGGTGGAGCAGGTTGTGTGAGAAAGTCAGCTAATTTTGGACATACTGAATTTGAGATGTGACGCTATATAACAGGCAGGTGGACATTTTGGTCTAAAGCTTAGAATGAGGAGTGCCTTAAGTTATGTGGGGATTCCTGAATAGATGTAATATTCAAAACCATGGAAGGGACTGATATCCTCAAATGAAGATCTGAAAATTGTAAAGGACTTTGGAGGTCATCTTTTTCAATTCCCCTGCAGACCCCTATGCATCAAACCTTTCTACTCAATTTATTTAAAAAGCATTTATTGGATGCCTATTAAACCCTACTATGCTTTAGGCCTAATGTAGGCAGTGGGCATACAAAATTCAATCAAAAGAGACTACTTTCTGTGGGGGAGGCGGGCGACCATGTAAACAAATCAGCTATCAGGGGCATGTTGGAAGTATGGACTAATGCAACAATACAACCATGGAAGGATTTTAAGAAACCAATTATGGCAAGTATAAAATACTAGCTGTCTTGAATGAGACCACAAAATAAGGAAGGTGATCTCAGGCCACAGGCAAAGGAGGCTGGATTACAGGTGAATGATGTTGATGGAGATGTGCTAGGATTTGTAGCAGCTATGGTTTACTCCATTCCTCAACTGGTAAGTGAATTAATGCTTTGAATGAAGGCTCTGGGGAAGACTGGAGCTTCAAGAAAAGAACACATGGGATAGTTATATAAGAAACACCAGGAAATTAAACTGTGTATCATTTTAATGTATTTGTCTGTTTATTCCATGTTAAACATAAATACAGATTCTCAATCTAAATTTCAATTCACCAGAACTTTTTCCACTTTGCCTCTTTTCCATCTTCCTTTTTCTCTCATGTTTTTCTTTCTTCTTTCTTCATCAATAAAGAGTGGAGAAATAGAGAAAATGGAATTTATCTGTGGAGAAAAGGAGAAATATGAAAAGAATGGTTACATCCCATCATTTCTGCTTCTAAATGAACCTCAGCTCAGCCACTGCTAAGAAAATGAGAATAGAGGAGAAGAACCTGGGGGCCTTTGTTTCATATAGCAACATCTGGGCTTTCATGGTAACATACGGTAAAATCATTGGCACCACCATCACTATTAAATGCCTGTTAAGCATTAATGAAACAGAAGAGGCTCATTTAATATGGCATTTATGCTGGAAACCTTGGGATGATGGTATGTAATGAATCATGGGTGGGCTTTATCAGTGAGTGTGTGCTGTAGGCAGGATAACAAAAAGAGGGAACAAATGAGAATTTACTTTTGTGATCTTCCTTTGAGGTGGGAGACAAAGAAGAATGTGGCATTTCTGGGGAAATATTTCAAACGTCAAAGCCCAGGACCCTAAGATCTGGTTACTGTTCTCAAAGGAGCATTTTCTTTGTCTTGTTGACTGTTTGGACAAATGTTTACAGCCAAGTTTATCGCTAAATGTCTGAATTCTGCTAAGGAGTCTTCCTTCTTTCTGTGACCAGAACTGGTTTGGATACATTTTTCTCTTTATCTTGTAAACTTCTTTCAGCTAGTCATTTCAAGTTAAATCTAGCTCTCAGGTTTATTACTCATATTTTCTTAACATTTATAAACTGTTTCTTTAGGTATCTGTTATAGCAAATTTAAGACAGAAGTGTTTGGAACCTAATTTATTTTAGATGATATTTTCACATAATTTTCTTGGCATATTTCAGCAACATGACTGACTTGGATTGTTTTCCATTTGCCTTCTACAACCGTCTTTTTTTTTTTTTTTTTTTCTCTTCCTCTCCTACCTCCCCTTGTTTTTTTCTAGGAACATAATAGAATAAATTTAACTAATTCACTCTCTTGTGGGTCAGAACGAGAAGGCTTCAGCTAGGTATTTTATCTCTGATGGTGACTGCAAAAAGATTTAGTAAAAACATGAAAACTGCCCTCCTATAACATCAACATCATACCTAGAAATAAGAGAATTAATTATACATGAGAACTAAAAAATGAATAGTTCACATGCCAGAGTATCTGAAATAAAATGATTTAGGTGTGCAGTGGCTATGTGCCTCTCCTGCTATACTCTGTATTCTTTCCTGTGGGGCCTATGCTGGCAACATAGTCGAGAATTAAATATACAGAGTTGAAATGCTGTTTGGCTTCTGAGAAATTGAGTTGTTTCATGAGATCATGGAAACAGCCCTGGACCAGACTTGTATCCAACTCCCACTTGGAAGTGCTGAATAACCTACAGCAAGTCTCCTAGGCTTCAGTTTCTTTGTCTACTACAGAGGATGGTTGGATATTTGTTATAGGCTTTGAGTTTTGACAGTTCTTCCAAATTCTCATTGTCCACTGCTCCCTTTCATCTCGCAGTCAAATTCTAAGTCCTTAATTCCTAAACCACTACCTAATGGAGGGAGAGGACATTGATGACTCCAGAATTCATCTCTGGGAAAACACTGTCTATGCTGAACAGGAGTGCCCCTTAACTGGTATGCTTCACACCCCTTACCCCCAGCCCAGCAGTGCATTTATGACCTGGAGCGAGATAAAGAGCTGTGAAAGAAGCAAACAGGGCCTTAGAGCAGGAGAGTAACCTATCAGGAAGGAGATAGGGAAGGTCAGAGGAGATAAAGCTGGCCAGCACTGTGGCCAGAAGCTGGAGCAGAGAGGTGAGAAATGGTGAAAATTTCCCAGTGGTTGGAACGCAAAGATGCTTTGATAGATAGAGATAGCTAATAAATAAATTCTAGCTGTTTGCTGTATATGCTACTTTGTAACCTCTTCTGCCTTCCTCCCAAACTCTCCATTAAGTTTACCATTGTCACAACCTTGATCCAGTGAAACTTTGGGGAAGAAGGGGATACAAATGGGAGCAGGACAAGCAGATTGGTGTCCAGATTGTGGACTAAAAGGAAATAATATGTTGTTTATTTTTTTTAAATTTTTTTCTTTATTGATTTTTTTTAGAGAGAGAGGAAGGGAGAGGGAGAGAAAGATAGAAACATCAGTGAGAGAGAACATCAGGGCAGCATCCTCAGGACGTGAAATGAAAGCAGACATCAAAAACAGAGAAAACAGGAGGACTTCTGAACCAGGAGTTTGGACCCATCTAAACTGCCTCTTGAAAAGAAACTAGGTTTCCATCCTGGCTTTGGAATCATCCAGGCAGCTCCCATCTATTAGGCTAGGACAAGCAAACAATTGTTTTACTTTTTATTTTTTTAAGAACCAGGAAAATGGGATTTTTTTTTTTTTTTTTTTTTTATCCTCACCTGAGGACATTTTTCCATTTTCTGTTCAGGTAGAGTGGGAGGGGGAGAGAGGAAGAGAGAGAGAAACATCGATGTGAAAAGGACACATCGAGTGGCTGCCACCCGCACGACCAACCAGGGCCGGGGACAAACTGCAACCGAGGTACATGCCCTTAGCGGGAACCGAACCCGGGTCTCTCGGGACCGCAGGCCGACGCTCTAACCGCTGAGCCAAACAGGCCAGGGCGAAAATGGGATTTTTTAATGTGCAGACCATATCTTTTAATAATTCCATTTGAATCCTTTAATTTAATGTTTATTTAGAGCCTTTATATTAATAAGTCAATAAAATAGGAACTGATATTTTAAATAATAACAAGCCTTTGAAAACTCAGTGTTTAAAAAAATACCTAAGAATTTTTAAAACAAAGCAGAATATCATCTCCTTCATGTTATACTCAAAGACTAGCTGATGCTAGCCTGCCATTTAACACAATAAGACATAAATGAGGTGCAGAATATACTATACAATTTTATTAACGAATCTTTTTTTTTTTTTTTTTGGCATTCTATTAACTATAGTTTGTGAAATGACAGATTGTGGACTAAAAGGAAATAATATGTTGTTTATT